ACCACATTATTCTCCCTCTTTATGCAGGATCTCCTACATCCCTTCCAAGTGGATGGCAGTGGTAGCTGGGCACCATCTAGTTCTTCTGGTCTCATAGTTGCCTAATACATACTCTTATTGATTTTAAAACATCCAATATCCCCTTGTTCTCCTTCAATGGCAGCGTCTTAGTCTATGTACATGTTTGTTCCTCATGAGCAATAATAAGTTTTTTGGAATTCCCCTTCTTAATAATGTTATCTATAATTTGTCATGATTCATACAGTCAAATGCCTTCATGTAGTCTATAAAACCAAGTAAACCCCTTTCTGGTATTTGCTTTCAGCCAAGATCCAGCTGACATCAGCAATGATATCCCTCATTCTATGTCATCTTCTGAATCTATCTTGATTTTTTTGAAGTTCCTTGTCAATATACTGTTGCGACCATTTTTTAATTATCTTCAGGAAAATTTTACTTGCATATGATATTATTGCCATTATTCAATAATTTCCACAATGTGTTCGACCACCTTTATTTGAGATGGACAAAAATATCAACCTCTTCCAGTTGGTTGGCCAGGTAGCTGTCTTCCTAATTTCTTGGCATAAATGAGTAAACACCTCACGTTTGTTGGAAAATCTCAGTGGGTAGTCCATCAATTCTTGGAGCCTTGTTTTTCCCCCAGTTCCTTCAGTGTAGCTTGGATTTCTTCCCTCAATACCATTGGTTCTTGATTATATGCTACCTCTTGATATGGTTGAACATCAACCAATTCTTTTTGGTGCAGTGACTCTGTGTACTTCTTTCATCTTCTTTTGATGCTTCCTGCATCATTCAATATTTTGTACATAGAATCCTTCAATATTGCAACTTGAGGCTTGAACTTTTTCTTCAGTTCTTGCAACTTGAGGAATGCTGAGCATGTTCTTCTTCCCTGTTTGTTTCCTAACTTCAAATCTTTGCACATTTCATTATAGTACTTTACTTTCTCTTCTTGAGCTGTCCTTTGAAATCTGTCCAGATCTATTGTTTCATTATTTCTTCCATTCACTTTAGCTACTCTCCATTCAAAAGCAAGTTTCTGAGTCTCTTCTGACCCCCTTTTTGGTCTTTTTTTTTTTTCCTTTCCTGTCTTTTGCTTTCCTCTTGTCTTATGTTCTTGATGTAATCCCACAAATTCTCTGGTTTTCTGTCATTGGAATTCAATATATCAAATTTATTCTTCATATGGTGTCTAAATACAGGTGAGATATAATTCAGATCATATTGTGGCTCTTGTGGACTTGTTTTAATTTTCCTTAGCTACAACTTGAATTTGTATATGAGCAATTGACGATTAGTTCCAAAGTCAGCTTCTGGCCTTGTTTGACCGATGATATTGAACTTCTCCATTTCCTCTTTCCACAGAGGTACTCAATTTGATTCCCATATATTCCCATCTGGTGTGGTCCTCATGTATAGACCACATTTATGTTGTTGAAAAAAGGTATTTGCAATGAATAAGTCATTGGTCTTTCAAAATTCTGTTATATGACCCCCCAGCATCATTTCTATCACCAAGGCCATATTTTCCAACTACCATTGATTCTTCTTTGTTTCTAACTTTCATATTCCAATCACTAGAATCACCAATACATCTTGATTGCATGTTTGGTCAATTTCACAATGCAGAAGTTGGCAAAAATCTTCAATTTCTTCATCTTTGGCTTTAGGGTTGGTGTGTAAATTTGAATAATGGTAGTATTAACTGATCTTCCTTTTAGGCACATAGATATTATCTTATCCCTGACAGAATTAAACTTAAAGATAGATCTTGAAATGTTATTTTTGGTGATGAATGTCATGCCATTCCTCTTCAATTTTTCATTCCCAGCATAATAGACCATATAATTGTCTGATTCAAAATGGCTGATACCAGTCCTTTTCAACTCACTAATACATAGGATATTGATCTTTATATGCTCTGTTTCATTTTACTACTTCCAATTTTTCTAGATTCATACTTCATACATCTCATGTTCCAATTATTAATAAATTTTTGCAGCTGTTTCTTTCCATTTTGAGTTGTGCCCTATCAGCAAATGAAGATCCCAAAAGCTTTATTCCACCATGTCATTAAGGTCAACTCTACTTTGAGGAGGCAGCTCTTCCCCAGTCAATGCCTTCTTACCTGAAGGACATACTTTGGAATTCTAATATATGGCATAAATATGTTATGCAACATAACTAAAAATGCAGAAACACTAAAAGATAAAATAGAAGACTGGGACCTACTAAAAATTAGACATTTATTTATGTGCATCAAAAGATTTAACCAAAAGAGTAAAAGGGGAACCCACAGAGGGGGCGGGGGACTTGGCAACTACATGTCAAAGGGAAAATCACTATATTTATATAAATCTTCAACACCTTAACAAAAATAAGACAAACAATCCAATGAAAGACATAAACAGACACTTCACCAAAGAAAATATTCAGGCAGCTAAAAACACAGAAGAAATGCTCCCATTCATCAACCATTAGGGAGGTGCAAATCAAAATGACAATGAGATGTCATCTCACCCCAGCAGTAATACCAAAATTCAAATAACAGAAAACAAACAACAAATGCTGTCAATGGTATGGAGACACTGGAACCTTCATACACTGCCAGTGGACCAGTGCAACCAGTGTGAAACACTATATGGTGCTTCTTTAGAAAGGTACAAATAGAAATATCAGAATATCCAGCAATCCCACTTCTAAGTGATATCCTCAAAAATAAGAGCCATGATATAAACAGATAATCACACCATGTTCACTGCAGCTCTATTCACAATAGCAAAATAGTGGAAACAATCTAAATCTCCATCAATGGATGAATGGTTACATGAACTGTGTGGTACATACATACACACAATAGAAAACTATACAACATTAAAAAACAATAATGATTCAGTGAGACATCTCATAACATGGATGAACATCATGCTGGGTGAAATTATTCAATCACAAAAGGACAAATATTGCATGACACCATTATTGTAAAAAGTCAAGAAAAGTGTTTCACACAAAAAGAAATATTCTTTAGTGGCTACAAGTGGTGGGAGGGGAAAGGTAAACTACTAAATAGAGGGTAGTTTCTTATTAAATTGGGTGAAGAGGAAAGCAAAAAGAAAGAAAAAAGAAAATTATTTCTTTACAATCATACATATAAGATCCTAAAAACAATACTACTTTTTTTTTTTTTTTTTTTTTACCAGTTAGGCTAATATATTGATTTTGGGAAATAAGATAAGCATTTATTGTTAATAATAATAGCTATAATTTTTGAGGGTTTACAACTACCATTCTGCTTATTTCTTTTCAAACATCAAACTGTATCATTCTTTTAACATTCCTAAAGATAGAGCTATTATGTCTGCTTTATAAATGAGTAAACTGAGGTTCTGAGTGCTAAGTAAACAGACTCAGCTCATGCATATATTAAGTAGTAAATTTGGGATTTGAATCTACATCTAGTCAAACATTTCACTATAATTTTTTAAAATAGTAATAAAATTAGGATATTTTTTACTAAAAAAATACTTCTAGACATTGTTATAATTTTTAATATGTCTTGCAAAGTTGTCACTAAGAGAATATTTATTCTAGTTAAGTATATGCATTTGGGAGTCAGAAAAAAATTCCTGATTCTATTTTTTAGTAGATCTTAGTCACATCACCTATTTTCAGATTCAGTTTCCTTACATGTTAAATAAGAATTTTAATCATAGCTAGCTCATTGTTTTATTTTGAAGATTAATGATAAAACATATAACTTAGTGCCCAGCACACATCCACTTAATTTAAATCTACAATTATTTTTCAGCAATTTTCTGTGAAGATTTCTAGAATATTATGTAATTATCTAAAGTATAGCTTGTTAGTGTTATTTTTATTTTTTAAAGCTGTGAAAATTTTCCAGTGTCCCTTTACTCTTTGTATTACTAACTTCTGATGAAAATGGTCTTAGAGATTCATTTAAATTCTTCTAAGATTTCTTTCCACAATCAACATCAGATTTAGAATTGTAGGCAAACATACAAAGACACATTCACAGAAATTTTGTAGAATAGAAAATCTGATCAATAGAACTTTAATGAACATTATAATTTACCTCTCCAATAACTGATGCAGTGCCATCTGAATTATTTACCCACACTTGTTTTTCAGTTCCCCTGTCATAGGTTGCATATGCGGCTCCATTGGCACGTTTTTCTATGGAAATTGCAGGGTCCTGATAATAAAGGAAGAAACTATAGAAAATCTATTAATTCACTAAACATGTAGCTACTAAAAATGTCTTGAGATATAATCAACCATTACCAAGATGATGACATATTTCTGTCCATGGGCATGCAAATCTTCAACAAATTCAGGGAGCCCTTTAAAAGCAACTGCATCATAAGTAAAGTCTTTCTTGTCTTCCATGTAGTCAATATCAGTAACTTGTGTATCCTGAAAATTAGTACAGTCTATTTCAATAAATATTATTGAAAGAACTCTGTACTCACTTCAACCTTAACTCCGATTAGCGTGTATGGTAAATATAATAAGTAAAAGATAAACGAACTTAGATACATTTTATTTCACGTAGGAAGCAATGATATCTACAATATTAATTTTTCTAATTTCTGACTACAAAAGCATTAAACGATTGTTCACATTGTGTTCAGTGAAGATCACTACATATGCATTATACTTTACTTCTTGTTGTTAGTTGTTATGTGCCGTCGAGTCAAACCCGACTCATGGCGACCCCTCCTTGGTTTTCCGAGGCAGTATCACTACGGAAGTAGGATTGCCCAACCTTCCTTCTGAGGAGTGGCTGGTGGGTTTGAACCGCCAGCCGTCTGGTTAGCAGGCAAGTGTCTTAGCCACTATGCTACCAGAGTGTTTATATATAAAATATATTCTTTATTTTTAAAAAAACAAAAACCTACACATTTCTGAAAAAAAAATTAATGAAATATATGATTGATATGCCTGAAAATTTTCCTCATTTATTATCACATGACAATATTTAACCTGATAAATACTTCCACAGCCACTTACAAATGGTATGCCAGCATCCCGGTTTCTTTGCACCACTTCTTTCACCACATCTAGTGACTTATAATTCCAGCGACTCAGTTGGAATCCAAGACTCCAGTATGATGGCATTGCTGGCAGTCCAATGAGCTTGAAGTAAATGAACATTTAATTAGTTTCAATAAAGACAAGTATAGTTAGTCTTTGAAACTATTATTAATATTATTCTGTTACACCTCTGATAATTATTTCAGTTTAATTACTTATTTTACACAAAGAGATAATGATACCTGTATTCTAAAACACTTCCTATGTATTTTATTAAGAATTTTGTTATGAAATTCTTGAGTTTTCTGCTTGTTCATTTATCTCTTTTTTATATTGTCCTAAAAAGTGAGAAAGTGCAGCAGTCAAGAAAGTAGCATTTATCAAGAGGTATTTTTGTCATTATGAAGAAGAATACAGGATAAAAAGAAAATTGTTCCATAACATTACTCCATTACAAAAAAAAAAATCAGTAACAATAACAATAAAGGAATCATGTAAGAAAGAAAGATGTTTAACATATCCAATTTTTACTCTTTTTTCATTTTTGTACTTATTTCTCCCTTGATTTACAAAATGGTAATAAAATATGTATACTACAAGACTAGGAAGGTTGGGCAATCCTACTTCCGTAGTGATACTGCCTTGGAAACCCAAGGAGGGGTCACTATGAGTCGGGTTTGACTCGACAGCACATAACAACAACAACAACAACAACAAGACTATCATCTAATTATGTCATATGGTTCTTGCAGAGAGCCTTTGCTTCTTTCCTGACACAGAAGCCAAATGGAGCTCCTTCTTCCACTCTTGTAGTGACCTTCAAGAGCTCAGTGCACAACAGAAAAGATCATGTGGTGCCAACCAGTAATAAGTGTCTTACGAAAACAAGAGGACACGATTTTATATAGTGTTTTTTTTCTGTGTGTGTGTGTATACATACGTACATATATATTTCTTTTAAAGTAATAAAAAAATCTATCCATTCAAATCAGCTATGGGTCCCATTTTAACATATTGGTGATCATTAATATGTTAGTTCATGTAGAGAATGTAAAGAGTATACTTTGCTTTTTTAAAAAAAATAGTTTCTTCTGCCTACTTTCAACATAATTTGAGCCTCACTTAAATGTAGCAGAGATTAAATAGTCCTCTTTCTGTATCAATATTTTCTTATTTAAATTCAACACTATGCAAATTTATTCATTAAATGTTTTAACTACTCTCTTCTCCTACATATGTACTGCATTTAAGAGTCAAGTTTAACTCAAATTCAAGTACTGTGAACCATAGACTTTCTCACCATGACATTGACATGTATGGTGATTAATATCTGACAAATCACATGCAATTCTTTCAAAAATATGTTGTTCTTTTGTTTTTCCAGTGTGATATGCATGTGCAAATTCTGTATATAGGTCAGGTCAGCATTGCCATTATAATTTCATATTGTTGTTAGTTGCTTTGGAGTGGATTCCTACTCATGACAACTCCATGAGTGTAGAATAGAATTGCTCCATAGAGTCTTTAAAGCTATGATTATTTTTTTGGAAAGTCTTTTAAGACATCTTTGGGAGAGTTTGAACTACCAATGTTTTGATTTGTAGTTGAGTGCTTAACCATTTGTACCACTCAAGGACTATGTTTCATGTTGTAGGCACTGTAAATTTTGTTTACTGCTTTTTTTTGACAATTAGATTTTTTAAACAGCCATTTAGAAGCTTTTAGACATTGCAAGTGGTTAAATGTATAATACACCACAGCTACGTTTATATCAGCTTTTTGGATCCTAAGTGAAGAAAGTTTTACGTCTTCCAGTAAGAACTCAAAAATTACAACTTCTTTGAGAATATTTTCTGGAAAAGTGAATTATATGTCAAAAGATATCACAAGAAAGCAAGATTTTTTTAAATTAGCATGACCTTTGAATATTACACCAATAAAAATACTTTCTTTTCCATGAGAATACTAGGAATCCTCTATGCCAATAGTTATAGTAGGGCAGTGACTTGGAAGAACTTTAAGAATCAGAGTCAAGGCAAAGCCTGGCTTTTTCACATGTCTAAGATCAATCTTGCTTAGCTACACTGATATATTATCTGATAGTTATGTAAGAGCTCTTTAGATAGAAATCTTAAGACACAAAGCTTCAGTCTATGTTTCAAACTGTGCCCTCTTTAGGCATGAATATTAGAGTTAATTTTCCTGGATTTTCCTTCCTGTGTATTTTCCACGAGTTTCATTAGTCTCACTCATAACTCATGGCCTCTAGGATTTTGATCAAAAGGAGTTATGACCTACAAGCCAACTGCATATGTTCATCTTAAAGATAACATACTTCACTTCACTATCCCAGGAAAGCAGGTCTTGAATTAGTAAAGATATTATATGCAACATCTCAAAGATGTCCAACTCCTGAACCCAGCTGCCTAGAAGCAAGAAAGTATTGTGAAATCAGAAATATACACAATTAAATATATATAGGCATCATTGTGTAAGCCAAGAAAATCCTTGTTCTGAAAAATGGTAAATTTTAAAATACCTGTAGATAATAGACCCCAAGTACCTAAAGTAAAGTCAGTTAAAGAATAGACTTGTTAGATGAGATAAAGTACAGCATAAAATACTGTTGTAAAATAAACATGAAACACACCTCTTGATACTGTTGAACTACTTGTTCTGGAGTATCACCTAGAAAGATGTAAAAATCCAAAATGCCACCAGTAACTCTGTAAGTTACTATAGGAGTAGGCTGGATGAAAACCTCTACAAAATAAAATCAGAAAAGCATATGAAAATAGTAAAAATGGTAACAAAATAATTTCAGTATCTTATTGAAAATACTTTGTATTAGTCATATTATTTTAAAACTCTTTTTAAATATGTAAGATAAAATAAGTTATTGACAGTAGGAAGAACATAAGGAAAAAGCTGAATGCCTCCAAGTCTTTGGCTAATAATGGGATATCCCAAATATCCCCATTTACAGATATTGGCAAAACCTCTCCCAAAAACTACATATTTAGTGAGGAGTAGGGAATTAGTCCCCATACAGCAAAATGAGTTCTTAAAATTACACAAACATTAGATATTTCCACTGAAGAATCTATGTATTCTTAGGGATGTGCATTTCTCAAGAACAAAAATCTATACAGAAAGTACCTTCTACATGTAAGACAAAGGAGCTCTGGTGGTATAATGGTTAAGGAATTTTGGCTGTTAACCAAAATTTTTGTAGCTCTGGTAGCATAGTGGCTAAGGCACTTGACTGCTAACCAGAAGGCTGGCAGTTCAAATCCACCAGCCACTCCTCGGAAGGAAGATGGGGCAATCTATTTCCGTAGTGATACTGCCTCAGAAACACAAGGAGAGGTGGCTATGAGTCGGGTCCAACTTGATGGCACATAACAACAACAACAACAACCAAATTTTGGTGGTATGAACCTACCAGCCCCTCCATGGAAGAAAGATAGGGCAGCCTACTTTTGTAAAGATTTGCCACCTCGGAAAGCCAACAGGGTCACTAGTGTTGGATTAGACTCAATGGCAGTGAGTTTTTAAGTGTAAGACAAGTCACTGGGTGGCATTTAGCTACTAACCAAAATATTGGCAGTTCAAACACTCATACCACCTTGCAGGAAAGCCCTAGTGATCTACTTCCAAAATATCAGTCATTGAAAATCCGTGGGGCAGAATTCTACTCTAAAGCACTTGAAGTACCCATGAGTTTCAACGGATTTGCTGACAACTTTTTATTTCAGGGGTGAGGGATATTTTATTTTTGTTAGGTGCCATCAACTTGGTTTCAACTCATAATGAACCTATCTATGTACAACACTAGTCATTCCTGCACTACCCTCACAATCATTATTCTGTTTGAGCCCATAGCTGTAGCCACTGTGTAAATCCATCCTATTGAGGGTCTTCTTTTTGCTGACTCTCAGGAGCTCTAGTAGCGTAGTGCCTAGGGCACTTGACTACTAACCAGAAGGCTGGCTGTTCAAACCCACCAGCCACACCTTGAAAGGAAGGTTGGACAATTTATTTCTGTAGTGATTCTGCCTCCAAAACCCAAGAAGGGGTTGCTGTGGGTTGGGTCCAACTCGACGGCACATAACAACAACTACTTTATCAAGTATGCTATCCTCTTCCAGGGACTAGTCCCTTCTGAAGATATGTCAAAAATATGTGACATGAAGTCCCACTATGCTTGGTTCTAAGGAGAATATTCTAGCTATATTTCTCTCAGGACAGATTTATTGATTGTTCTGGCAGTGCATGATGAATACCATGACTTGTATCAGGTTCACCTTTGTTCTCAAGGTGACATATTTGCTCTTTAAAACTTTGAAGAGATATTTTGCTTCAGATTTGTTTGGAGAACCATGTAAAATATTGCTCTTGCTAGAACATTGTTATTTTTTGTAGCTTTTTATGATTGATGATTTACCTATTAAGCCAAGCCAAAACCAAATCAATTGTAATCAACTGATTTGGGTTTGTGGTGACCCCTCATGTGCAAAGTAGAACTGCATACCATAGGGTTTTCAAGGCTGTGACCTTTCTTCTGAGGTGACTCTGAGTAGATAGGTATAAAATGTCAACCTTTCAGTTAGTAATCATGAGCCCAGCTGACTGCACCACTGAAGTATAACTACTTACTAAATACAGATATTGAAAACAACAAAGATTCTCTATTATTTAAATTATGATAAATTTAAAAAAAAATACTCTTTCTTCTTTCCATCCCCTTATAGCTCTTTCTGTTTTGTTTTCACTTGCAGTCACACGTTAACTAATCTTGACGAATGAGACTATGGAAATGAGGATATTCATTGCATGAACATGTCTCAATGTTTCAATATTGCTCATATGGAGAAAGAAAATGCCTGAATATCCCAATATAATAATAGATAACATACTTTCACTAATTTCAAAAACTTGCTGATAAAAAAATTCACATGCTAAAATAATTAGTAATAGAATTTATTCAGGCATACAGTATTTCTGATTAGAATAAAGAGAGCAGTTCATAGTTTTCAAGTTGAATCTTATCTAAACATCTTATCAGATAAATTATTCTCACCCATTGCATTGCTATTCATTAAGAAAACACCAAATGACTTTCCAGAAGTATCTTCAATACACGTGAAGAATGTTTGATGTCCATATAAATTATTATTGTTCTAGAAGAAGAAATTTTAAAATTAAATTATCAAGTATATTTAAAATTAAAAATATTATGCTTATCAAATGACATTTACAAGTTTAATTTGTTCCTGTAATTTGCTTATTCATATATCTATACTAATTTTCTCTATTACATACCATATAAAACATCATAGCACAAAAAGCATCTAACTTATTGTTCTAGTAATTTATCATCAATATTGCATTAACATATAAATATACTATCAATAGTTTACTTTATTTTCCTTTATGTTTTCTTACTATTAAATTAAATACGTTTTAATAAGACTTTCATGATTAGCCAACAGCATCATTATCCATTTTTCCCAAAATAAATCCAAGGCACTGCAGGGAATTGTAAGATGATATCCATTCTGGTATAACTTTTTGTGGTAAGTTTGTCAAACAGTTGGTGAACTGCAATAGAAGGGTAAGAGTGGAAAGACACGAATGAGGTAGGTGACAAGAAAAAGCTTTCCTGACTAACTGGATGTAGAAGTTTAAAGTAAAGAAAATAAGAAATACAAATCACAGCATTTGAAGCAAATAAGTCATGAATCCACAGAAATATTTTTAAAAAGAAAAGACATGATCTTTTTTCTAAAGAATCTCATTTTTAGAAGGAAAGACAAATAGATATACACAAATAAGACACTGAGATAATTATCATAATAAGTACAAATAAAAAGTTAGAATATAAGGACTAATTCTGCATTGAGGAATTTGTCAGACATTCTTATGAGGTGAAACTTCAGATAAACCCCCAATGACATGTTACACAAGTGATAAAGGACCTCAAGATCTAGTATTTAGAACGATAACCAATACCTTGTGAAAAGATGTGAAGTCATGGAATATTATCATTTGTTATAAAACAGGAAAAAGTGAAGAGAGATGCTATAAGGTGATGTCCAGTAGGTAGGCAGATACCAGATTATATAGATCTAGGTGGGTAAATGTTTGGAATTTATATGAATGCAATGACTAGCCATTAATGAGTTTAATGAGTTTAAATACAATGGTGACTGGACCCGAAAAGAGAATGATAAAATATAATAATGAAAGTAAAAAGCAAACTTTCATTATCTGCAAATACAAGTTCAAATATTCCTAAAATTTATTGGTCACTGAATTACTTAATTTACAACTTAAATAGTAGTCCTCACAACCAAGGAAAACAAGCTTCTGTATGAAGTACTATTGATGTCCAAATATTTTAGTTGATAATTACAAATAAATAAGGGCTTCAGGTAGACAAAATTATCATCTTCTCCAATATAATAATTTTATTTAAAACAAGAAAGATAGTTCCTTACATCACCAGGAAGTTGGTCCCGGGAAAAGATTGGCCAAGTTTTCCAGAATAAGTCATGACGAAATCTCTTATGAACATGCTCTCCAAAACCATACATGTATTCATTGGGAAGTCTTGTTGAGATCTGTAAATATTGGTCAGAATACACCAAGGGACCAATACTGGTATCAAACCTGAAACATAAAATAAACAAATAAATGATCTAGAAACATATAAAATGCTCTACCAAATTCAGATGTATGTTAATATCACCCAGAGCGTTTCACTTTAAAGATGTCAGTCTTTAGCTGGTGGTTTCTTCTTAGGAACACATGAATTACACCAACATCAGAACTAGCTAATTACATCAATAGAATTTGCCTCATCATCACAAAAACAGTTCTTCACTTGCATTCCCTTTTTCAATCTCCATCACAAATCTAATATATAACTACTAATATTAATCCTTTTTAGTGATGACATAACAGTGAAAATTAATTTATGTTTTCTAATGGGGCAATCTACTTCCGTAGTGATACTGCCTCAGAAACCCAAGGAGGTGTCGCTATGTGTCGGGGCCAACTCGATGCACATAACAACAACAACAACAACCTAATTTTCTAACCAACAATGTCAGATACTTTGAAAATAATTGGCACTAAAGGAAAAGAATTTATCTCCTGCATTGTATGCCAACATAAGAGGTATGTGGTAAGTGTGCAACAGTTTCTGTTGTAATTTGAGCATTAAAAATAAAGTTCTGAAGTGCTTAAAATGGAGAGATTTAAGGTGAGCATCAAGGAGACTGAAAGGAAGTACAAATACTTTTGAGAAAGATCCTGGAGGTATTATTGGTAGGAATATTTCTCAAATATATTTTAAAAATTGAAGTTCATTAGGAGATACAGTGTTATCTAACAGTCAATATCACTAAGAGAGTTAAATAATTTTGTACTATAAGAAACTGAACAATTTCCCTTTATCTAGTACATAAATGGAAGGAAGATGGAGCAATCTACTTCCATAAAGATTTTTATAGCTTCAGAAACCCAATGAGGGTCATTAGGAGTAAGAATCGACTCCATGGCAGAGAGTGTGGTTTTTTAGTATATAAATATATTAATAGCAAACACAAATATATATTCTTAATCCCACTGTGAAGGAGAACACTTAATTTAGGCATTCAGTGATATTTTAATAGGCACATATTTTCTTTGAAGGCCGTTTTCATCTGCCTCTTCACTTAGTAGCCACAGAACAAAATCGCTTTGATTTACAGAAAATATAAAATCAGGATACGTGTAAAGATTTTATAACACATCATTCTGGAGTACACTTTCATGAAAAGCTATGGGAGGCCCTGGTAAACAGATTTTGTTAAAGTCCAATTATATTATTAAAAAAGGAAAACTCAAAAATAGTTCTCGGTAAATAAGTTGTTCTAAAATTTTCCACCTCAATTTGTATATTCTCATTCACATTCTAGCACCTCTTCTTGACAGGATACAAATTCTCTTTATTATGATAAGTTTTATAAAGACATATACTACCTTCTTTGGGAGGGTATTTATTATTTCTGGAAATATCTTGAAATTAAGACTTTCCCAATCAGATAATAATAAAAATTTAAACTCATATTGAAATGTACATAAATGTAAAATAAGACAGCAACTTACAAAATATTTTTATTGCTTTTTCTAATAACTTGGATGCTAAACGGTTCTTGCTTAACTGTCACATCATACAATGCTTCAGAAGTAGCAGGTCCAGTAAATGTTTTCACATACTGGTGCGGAACTTCATATCTATTCTTATTTAGATCAGTAATCTGCAAAGACATAAATAAAGCAATATGACTAGATTCAAATCTATTATTTAATTTTCTAATTCAGAATTAAGTATTAAAGGCCAGTTCCAAATAGAAAAGTATAAATTTCATAATTGTATAGAGGAGCTATCAATCTTTTAAGGTGCTCTGGTGGCATAGTGCCTAAGGCACTTGACTGCTAACCTGAAGGCTGGTGGCTCAAACTCATCAGCCACTCTGCAGAAGGGAGACTGGGCAATCTTTGAATTGAGGTATAATCCATAATGAAGGCTATGGGCTTCAATAGTTAAGTGCTTCAAATCTTCTTCACTTTCTCCAAGCAAGGTTGTGTTGTCTGTATATCACAGGTTGTTAATGATTCTTCCTCCAATCCTGACGACACATTCTTCTTCATACAGTCGGCCTCTCAGATTATTTATTCAGTTTACAGATTCAATAAGTATAGTGAAAAGATACAACCTTGATGCACACTGTTCCTGATTTTAAACCAGGTATCCCCTTGTTCTGCTTGAACAACAGCTTCTTGGTCAATATGCTAATTCATTATGAACACAATTAACTGTTCTGAAATTTTCATTATTCTCAATGTTGTCCATAATTTGTTCTGATCCACACAGTTGAATGCCTTTGCATAGTCAATAAAACACAGGTAAGCATCTTTCTGGAATTCTTTGCTTTCAGTCAAGATCCATCTGACATCAGCAATGATATCCCTCACTCCACATCTTCCTCAGAATCTGGCTTGAATTTCTGGCAGTTCCCTATCAATATATTGCTGCATTCATTTTAAAATTATCTTCAGCAAAATTGTATTTGCATGTGATATGGATATTAGATAATTTCTGTATTCTGTTGGATAATCTTTGTTTGGAATTGGCACAAATTTTACAGTCAGTAGACGATGGCATAAATGACTCAGTGCTTCCAGTACTGCATCTGCTTGCTGAAACATCTCAATTGATATTCCAATTCTTGGAGCCTTGTCTTTAGCCAATTTATTCAGTGTAGCTTAAACTCCTGCCTTTAGTATCATAGGTTCTTGGTCATATGCTTCCTTCTCAAATGTTTGAATGTCAACCTATTCTCTCTTTTACAGTGACTCTATGGATTCCTTCTATCTTTTTTGATGTCTCCTGCATCATTCAATATTTTACCCATAGAATTTTTCAGTATTGCACCTGGAAGCTTAAATTATAAATATTTGTTTAGTGTTTATTCTTTTCAAGGCCAAGACATTGTGATAAATATTTTACATAGATTAAGTTGTTTAAATTCTTCATAAATACTTTCAGGAGGACATATCTTTCTTAAGTTATATTTGAGAAATAATTGTCAAATTAGTCCTTTTAATTGAAATAGATATTATTAATCAAGAGGGAAAATGTTTCAGTAGAATGGAAAGGATTAATCAGACACGTCTTTGATTTTTAAACTTGTTTAGAAATCTCAAAAACCAAACCTTGAACCGTAAACGATTAGGTGTTTGATGTTCAGTTGTAAAGAGAACACTGTTAAGGTCATTTCCAAATAGAGTAGGTGAAGGTATTCTATTTAACTGGGTTTCAAGTCCTTAAAAAAAAAAAAGAGGAAATCTGGCTTCAGTGAATTTTCTGGTTACAAAGATTAACAATAATTGAATTCTTTTTATAACTTTCATAATTTCATTGTCTTAACACAAATAATGTTTTTTTTCCCCCTTAATATAGACAATAGTCATGCAAGAAATAAATCCTTAATATAATCATTGGGAATATTGTTGTGTATATACTTCTCATTTGATTCTATTTAAGATATAATTTCCAAAGAAAAATTAAAGTGTATTGTCTTTGTTCCACTATTATACTGAGTCATTACTGTAGAGTACCTCTTACCTGTAGTTGTTGTTTTTATTTCCTGAGCATTATAGCCATGGTTTTCTGCAAAGAAGCACCAAGGAATATAAGAGTAATTCCATGGCCGCCAGCAGCAGCCTCTCTGAGCACAAATTGCCTGTTAAAACATTTTTAAAAAGCATCCTGTATTATTACTGTTATTGGAAGTATTAATCTCTACTTTTTAAAAATTCATTCGTCTCAGTGAATGGTAATTTTAAAATATGCCTCTTCATAAAATATATTATACGGAAAAATCAGCTATTCTTTTGTTCCTTCCATTTGGAAGAAATATAAATGTTTAATTCACTGAATTAACTAGTTGAATTAACTGAAAATCTAGTTGATATTTTCTATATTCTATCAGAGATTGATGCCAAGTTGTGACTTGTCAAAATCAGATACACGTTATGATAAATTCACGTGTTTGACAGGTTCCTGCCTTCTGGGTACTATAATCTATCATATTGGCATGATGTTGACCCAGACAAGCTGAAGTGTTTCCTATGTACCAATTACATATCAAGCTGCAGATGATGCTACACAGATGAAAATAGGGCCCTGAATTCCAGCCCATATAAAATGCTTAAGATAAGTATTTCTAACTAAGCATTAGTAAAATATTTAATAATTTATGTTAATTTATATGCCAGGTATTACATCTAAGAGGTACAAATTTTCTAATTCTCAACAACTTTATTTTTTATAAATATTGTATGAAATGGTAAAATATTATATTAACATATGAAAACTTCAGCACTATAGTGATTTTGTGTGTTAAATTGATAGAATTGAAAATCTAGTTGATATTTTCTATTTAACAGTTCATAGTTTGAATATCTATGGAATATAGATGTATATTTACTTGTTAATTTGATTTGAATTGAGGTACAAGAAAGGAAATTTAGCAACTTCTGTTAATTCTCATCTAATTACACAAAGCTACAGTAAAAAGATAAATACTGCCTAATTTATGACTAGGAGCTCTGGTAGCATAGTGCCTAAGGCACTTGACTGCTAACCAGAAGGCTGGCAGTTCAAACCCACTAGCCACTCCCTGGAAGGAAGATGGGGCAATCTACTTCCATAGTGATACTGCCTCAGAAACCCAAGGAGGGGTCACTAGGAGCGGAGTCTGACTTCGATGGCACATAACAACAACAACAACAATTTATGACTAGATCTTAAAAATATGGAGCAGATCTAATATTGAACAATTTTCATAATATGATGACTATAATAACACCCTCATAAAAATAGTAAAGATTTTTGTTGCAAACCTGTGTTGGAAATTGGTCTGGAATGCAGTTTATTCTCTCATTTATAGGATCATTTAACTCAGTTGGACACTTTCCTAAACCAGATGGATTTACGGTGGTGGTACGGGTTGTAGCAGGAGTGGAAGTAGAACTACTGATGTCTGGCAAAAAAGGGAAAAAAAAACGATTAAAATAAAACATAGTGTTAATTATTTTCAGGTTCTTTAAACAATGATACTTCACATTGAAAGAATACATAAATTTGTATATAATGAATGGGAAAAAATTGATTTTTTTTTCAGTAAAAAAGGACTCACAAATTTACTCATGAAAGGGAAAAGAACCAAATGTATCTTAAGACTGACAATATAGACTCCTGCTGACACTTTCTCCGAAATCAAAATATATTCGTAGGTCTTGAGTTAGAGTCAAAAGGAAACTAAATGAATATTCTCACCACACATCTATGTACATTATGTGTTTTACAAAGGAAAAAAGAAAATGGAGAAATACCAGATGGTAATAGGGTATAAAGAAAGAGAAAAGAAAGTAGAGATGAAAGAACAAAATAACAGGAAACAAATCTTTTGAAGGGAAGAACTTGTTAGGTGGAGAAAAGAAAGCAGAGAATAGTAAAGAAAAATAAATCTCAACTCTGTATGATGAAAAACTTTGAAACCATGCAGATATAGGTAAGATTCACAATGTACTGAGTTCTAAGTTACTGGAAGAAGTGAAAAGACTGACAGCAGTAGAAAATGCTAATAAAACTGCAGAGTTAGACCACAACATAATGTATAATATACATTAAAATTCTGATTTTGTTCATAGAGATCATGATGAAGAAAGGGAAAGTGGATTAGGTGGTCGAGAGCAAAATATTCTGAATCTAAATGAGGAAAGAAATGTTAAAAAAAAAAAAAAA